GGTCTAAAGTTGTATGGTGACAATTTTGTAATTATTGAGAAATCTCGTGGCGTTTATAAATGTTTAAATTTTCAGATTATAGATCTAATCCAAGGATTGAGAATTAGTCTCACGGGTCTTACGAAAAACAATTGGTCTCACATGATCCCAATTCTCTCTCTCTCTCTCTCTCTCTCTCTATATATATATATATATATATATCAATTGAAGAGAAAACTGATTAGTTTATGATAACCGTGAGATCAAATGTGAACCACTCATTTGAGATATTTAAAGATATTTCTTAAATAAGTTAAAATGATAATATAGTAATTTTATTTTTGACAACTAATCAAAATATTTAAATAAATTTTTTAGAAGAAAGTATTTTATTAAATTAGTTACCTAATATATATCGTATTTTAAAGACGTTTGTGAATTAAAGTGTATCATAGTGATAACATTCACAATTTTTCACATGTATCACTATGTATTTTCTTTGTTTTATGAAATGTATTATAATGTGCATTTTAGTTATTTTCATTACTTTACAATGGATATCATATTGTGCATCTTGTATGTATGTATATATATCTAGGTATCATAGTGAATATCGTTTGTAGGTATCATAATGTTATCTTGTATTCACATAAGGTTCTTTAGAATAAGGTTCGCTAACTAAGATTCGTCGGAGATAGAAAAGATGAGAGATGAGAGGGATATTTATGAAATTCTTAATTAATATTTTAAGTTAAAATTAACAAAATTATTAATTTCCCGATTCAACCTTTTGATTTGTGGTTGAGATTGAATCTCACGGTTACCACAAACAAAATAGTTCTCATTTGATTAGACTATAATAAATATATATATATATATATATATATATATAAAATATATCATAATATGCTGAAATCCATATGCATGGCCTCTCGCTTCACCTCCGACCTAATACCCTGATAACCCATCCGACCATCCCTTTGGGCGTTAAAACGTTTATAGGGGACGCGCCCCCTATCGGTGACCCACCTCCTACCAATCTTCTTCCCCTCGTATTTAGACGATATAGACCCTCTTAGCATGAGGGAACAAATCCAAAATAAACTGCATAGTAAAAGGTTTATTACGTAACAAAATGAATATAAAGGACCAACACTGCAAAATTACAAATATTAGGGACCAAATACGTAACTTACTTTAATATTTAATAAATCAAAGATGAAAAAAATAATGCAAGTTGGTGAGCTGTAAGAAAAGGTACTGATTTGTCGGGTGGGTCAATGATTAGCAACATGCCCGCTGACTGCCCAATGAAACCCCACTTTTAACTTTATATTCTCTTGGTTCCGAATTAAATAAAATTTATATATAAAAATACACATAATTTAAAAAATATGTAATTATTATATTTTTTAAATAAGTAAATGATAAATTCATTTTTGATAAAAGAGAGAAAAAAATTTCCATCTTATAATCGAGGATAAAATGGAAACTTATTTTTTAAAAATAAATACTTATTTTGAGACAAACTAAAGTAGTAATGTGGATATTTAATTTAGGATAAGGTAAGAATGGTGATTTGTCTTGACCCAGTGGGAAACCCGGCTCACCCGCCCCGAATGGAGACGGGGATTCCTCACTAAAACGGGTCCCTAGTTCAGGGAGATGTTACTCAAACTGGGGTCGGGGATCCCTTGTAGACTCACACTAACAGATATTTTTCATAGGGTTTGACAATGACAAGGGTTTGATCGGCAATGGGATGCTAATTCCCATACCTGTCGGGGACCGAGGTCGGGGCCCGAGGTCGGGGCCCGAGGCTGTAGGCATGGCAACGGGGCGGGGATGGGGCGAGTTTTGTAATCCCCGGCCCCGACCCCGGTTTGTAATACCGTCCCCCGGCCCCGGCCCCGTTCCCCGGCGGGTACGGGGATTATCATCTCCTCCCCGGTCAAATTCTAGCAATCCCCGGTCAATCCCCGGTCAAAACCCGATAAAAAGTATGCTTTAGTTTGATTATACCGGGGATCCCCGGCCCCGACTCTGGCCCCGTTTTGAGTAACATTCCCCGTCCCCAGCCCGTCCCCGGTTTGAGTCTACCGGGGATCCCGGGACCCATTTTAGCTAGGAATCCTCGTCCCCGTTCAGGTCGGGTGAACCGGGTTCCCCACCGGGTCGGGGCAAATCACCATCCCTACGAGGCTGTTACTAAAAACCGGGGTCATGGATTACAAAACCTGCCCCCATCCCCGCCTCGTTGTCATGCTCATGCTTAGGAGAAGGAGATTTTTCAATCTCTTAATGGTTCTAAAACTCTATGAATAATGTTGTATCTTGAGTCTCCCTTAACCATTCAGCATCTTAATTCCATTGTAAACAATTATCGAACAATTATATTTCATTTTGCACTATATCACGAGAGTCTCTTAATCATTCTAATCACTTAGGGATTTTTTGTTTACTTCTTAATAATTCTATTAAGAGACAATCTCTAAGTCGTTAAGAGATTAGTTTTGTTTGGCAAAAAGAAGTCTGTCTTTTAATGGTTCTAAAACCCTCTAGAGTATCACGGGTCTCCCTTACAATTTAGCGCTCTAATTTCATTGTAAACAATTAATAAACAATTATATTTCATTTTACATTATATCACGAGAGTCTCTTAATCATTATACACCAAGTCATTCAACAATGGTTAAACAACCTCTTAATCATTCCAAACATTAAATTCTATTAATTTTTTTAGATTTTTCCATTTAAAAACTATAATCATAATTTTTAAAATTAAAAAAAATATTTATATTATTTTATCCTACGTGTGATGTATCGCAACTCACCTTAGACCATGTTATCACCACCCATCTCCATCGCTACCAATCGGTCCATACCACCGTCACCGTCACCGTCATCCACCGCCAGACACCAACCTTCACACTCACCGGAAACACTCGCATCACTAATCGCCACCACCAAAAACATCCGCCAACTCCTCCAAATCCACGCAGCTGCAATCCGCCATGGGCATGATAACCACCTAATTCTAAAATTCAAACTCCAGCGATCTTACTCTTCATTTGGACGCCTTGATTCATCTCTTGTTCTTTTCGAGCTCACCCACAATCCCGATGTGTTCTTCTACACTTCCATCATCCACGCTCATGCCGTCGATAATCTCCATAAGCGAGGACTGCAATTCTACGTTCAGATGATATCGCAAGATGTAGAGCCCAATGAATTCACATTATCTGCTCTCTTAAAGGGTTGTGCTTTAGAACATGGAAAAACCCTTCATCCTCACGCAATTAAACTGGGATTTGATTGTAATATGCATGTGAGAACAGCTCTTGTTGATGTTTACTCAAGAGGTGGGGATTTGGTCTCTGCCCGCCAACTGTTCGACAAAATGCCTGAAAGAAGTTTGGTTTCTTTGACTTCCATGATCACAGGGTATGTGAAGAACGGGGATCTCGATAACGCACGCGTGTTGTTTGATGGAATGCCGGAGAGGGATGCTGTGTGTTGGAATGTGATGATCGGCGGGTATGTGAAATATGGGAAGCCGACGGAAGCTTTAACCCTATTTAGGAAAATGCTCACAAAGATGAACCCTAATGAAGTCACCATTGTTGCGGTTCTATCTGCTTGTGGGCAGCTTGGAGTTTTGGAATCAGGGAAATGGATTCATTCGTATGTGAAAAACAATAGTATTCACATGAATGTTCATGTGGGTACTGCTTTAATCGATATGTATAGCAAATGTGGTGGTTTGGATGACGCTCGAATGGTCTTCGATCAGCTCAAGAACAAGGACGTTATCGCTTACAACTCGATGATTGCGGCTTATGCCATGCACGGATGTTGCCGAGAAGCTTTGATTCTGTTTAGCGATATGGGTAGGAGGCGTACACGGCCAACGGATATCTCGTTCATCGGAATCTTGAATGCTTGTGCTCATTCGGGTTTGGTTTCTGTCGGAAAGGGTGTTTTTCTTTCGATGAAAACTAAACACGGGATCGAACCGTCAATCGAGCACTACGGATGTATGGTGAACCTTCTTGGTCGAGCCGGTTTTCTTGAAACGGCATACGGGTTCGTCAAGAACATGAAGGTTGATCCCGATCCTGTTATATGGGGAACTTTACTCGATTCTTGTAGCCTCCATGGAAACGTTCATTTAGCCGAAGAGATCGTCAAGTTTTTGGTCGATCGCAATCTTGCGAATTCGGGAACTTATATCCTTCTTTCAAACTTATATGGTGCCACTTCAAATTGGGTCGGGGTGGCTCGGATGCGGACCATGATGAAGACCCACGGGGTTCAAAAAGAACCCGGGTGTAGCTCGATTGAAGTGCGTAACACGGTGCATGAGTTCGTTGCAGGTGACGTGAAACACCCAAATAGCAAAGAGATTTATATGATGCTCGAGGAGATAAACGGATGGTTGAAGGGCCATGGTTATCGTCCTCGGACCGACATAGTGTTGCATGATGTCGGAAAGACGGAAAGAGAGCGGTCGTTAGCGGTTCATAGCGAGAGGCTTGCGATCGCGTTTGGGCTTATTAGCACCGAGCCAGGAAGTAGTATAAAGATTGTGAAGAACCTTAGGGTTTGTTCGGATTGTCACGAGGTAACGAAACTGATCTCGAAGATCACGAGACGTAAAATCGTGGTTAGAGATCGTAATCGGTTTCACCATTTCACCGATGGTTCGTGCTCTTGTGGAGATTATTGGTGATATCCGATGAAGCTTGATCAAATTGTATTATTCAAATATATATCGGTTGATTTGGAGCTATTTGGTAGTTGCTGAATGGTTTGGTGTCGAATGATTAAGAGACTCTCATTATATAATCAAAATGAAATATAATTGTTTACAATGAAATTAGGATGCTGAATGGTTAAGGGAGACCCATGATAGAAAATTATTCAGAGGGTTTTAGAGCCATTAAGAGACATATATTTTTTTTTGTTAAACAAGATTCACCTCTTAACGATTCAGAGTCTGCCACTTAATGAAACTATTAAAAGGTAGACAAACAACCGATTGTTTACGTGGTTTGCTCAAATTTTGGATTTGTTCCCTAAAACGAACTATGTATACTAATGGTCCTTAACTTTTCAATTTCATAACAATTAAGGTTCCTGAAGTTAACATCATCAATTAGCAACCATTAAAATCAGATAATATCTGGTATAATTACATCACACGTGTAAACATGCAAAAGTACTAAAAGAATATTGAAATTTTAAATAAAAATATGAAAAATGTAAAATGACTAAAATACCCTTTTTATGTTGGAAGATAGAAAGGTAATCCATAAGCCGAGAAGGCACCAAGAAAAAGGAAGACGGAAATGGCGTTCGCTGCAAATCCGTTAGCTCTCAGCGTTCCCGATCCTACCTTCGAATCCTGGCTCCGAGACAGCGGTTACCTAGAGGTTCTTGACCAACGAACCTCCGACCTCCATCGTATCTCATCCACCGCCGCCGCCACCACCGCCGCCGATTCCGACTCTGCAACCGCCGATCCGCCCTCCGTTTCCGTCGCTGCCGCCGTCAGTAGCGGATTTTTGCTGTCGGTTGTGTTATCCTACATCGGAATCTTACTTTCTCTATTAACACTAAATCCATTCTCAAAGCTCACAAATGAAGACTTCTCTGGCGATACTCCGTCATGGACGCTAGGGTTCTTTGGTTACTCCGGCTCTTATTCATTTCCTTCGTCTCGTTCACAAGCTCGTATGAGAGTCACTGAGAACGTCAAGCGATATTGCCGCAATTACGCCAGTCTCTTCATCCTCTTCTTTGCGTGCTCTCTGTATGTATCCTTGTAGCAATTTCTCCAGCTTCACTAGGCTTGTTATATAATTCAATTACTCGATTATGTGAGAATTTCATATTGTGATTTGAACAGTGTTGTTTGTTGCTGCTAATGTCTAGGTATCAGATACCGATTGCTCTTGTTGGTTTGGTATCGAGCTTGGCACTGTGGGATCTGTTTGCGTACTATGGCCATCGTTGGGGTTTAGACAATCATCCTGTTACTCGAGAATGCTTGCTTCGCCTATTACAATGTGGTTAGTTTTTGTATTTTTGATTTATAGTCCAAATTATGTGCCAATTGGTGATTATGTTTGCATCATGTTCATTTGATTGCCTTTTTCTATTACGTTTGCTGGTTATAGAGATTTCTTAAAGTTTTGACATGTTTCTACGTATCGTCTTTAACATCATAGCAGCTGGTTAGTATCCAATCTAACTCAACCTAGCTCCCCCATTCTCTAAACTGTTTGAAGTCGAACCTACTAGAGCAAATTTTATTTTGATATCCTTTTTAGTTGCCATAACAGTTTTGATTTCTGGTTCTTCATGATGAGATTCTTTGAGGAACATCATGTCCCACTAAACACTGCCCATGTAAAGTATTAATGATGAATATATAGCAATTTGAAGGTAATTTATTTGCGTCATCAACATGTACGTAAGGAATTTCTTGCATAAGTGATTAGTTGTGGTGCTGGTAGCTCTGTAGGCCACAATGGCACAAATGCTCTACGAAGAAGAATGAGAAGTAACTTGCCAACTTCTAGGAGAGACATTATTGACTGCATTAATCTTGGTGTTTAAAAAAACTCGCTAATTAACTTGGGTTACAGGTCCGGTTCTGGCTGTATTGACTGCATCTTTTGGTGTACTAGTCATTCCTTACCTTGGGACCAAATTGGTTATTGGGCAGTGAAAATTATATTTTAGAATGTAACTTCTGTAAGATTGCATAGCTGCAATACAGCTAGGTTAGTTGAGTTGGTAGCTCCGTAACTGTGGAGGATGCATGTTCTGAATGCTCATAGATGTCCTTGCCTCACATTGATCTTGGTTTATAACTGATGCACTGTCAAGGTTTGTTAGCAGTCCGAAGACAATTCCAACTACTGTAGTAAGAATGACATGATAGAGAGGGGCTTATTTGTTGTGCCCTTGGGAAGAGAGGAGATAGCTCTATGCATCACGTACCTGTTTTAAGAGCTTGTGTACAGTGTATTCTTCCCTCTCATATTAGTTGTAATGCTGATGTACTGTTCTTCACAGCGGTTCATTTAGCGACAATAACTTCACTATCAAAAGTTGTTAAGTCTACTTCCTTTGTGTGAGAATTTGCACTGTGCTTTTAGATGGAAAATTAATCTTCGGAGAGCGCCTTGTTGGCTCTTGTAAGAATACCAATATACACTTTGCTTTCAAGTCCCTCTCTCTCTCTCTCTCTCTCCCCCTCTTTCTCTCTCTCTTCCCCTTTGTCAACAAAGCTACATCCTCACCCTACATTTATCTCTTATGAGGGTTGAAATCCATCCTCATGATCATTTGTTTGTTGGGCCAAACGCACACTTGTTTAGGAAGGCTGTCTAGAAATCTTTTACATAAAAATTCAAATAATTCAGTATATTGGTATGAATTTTGTAAAGATGCTGTTTTTAGTCAGTATAGCCTCTTTTAGAATATTTCAAAGCAATTTTTATTTATCAACTTGTCTATTCACTTGTTAAAATAGCAATTTGTAAAGATGCTGTTTATTCATTTGTTAAAATGAATCCTAAAAGAATTTTCCCTGATAAAATATAAATGGTATATATGATTGATATATAATCAGGTTACATAGATCCCTTTTTATTGAAAGTTCTCAACTACAAGGATGAGAAAACTGGCGAAATTTGCTCATTATTTTGATACACAAGTAATTTATGGAATTCAAATGGAGTTCGGTTAAGAATAAACTTTTCCCTTATCTAGTTATGCATGGTTATCTGACCTTTGATAGGAGTTCTTGGACATACATGACTAAGGCTGGGGATCTGTACCTAGAGTGGACGGTTGGTAGGGAGCTGGAGAGGTAGTTGGGGAAGGGGGGGGGGGGTAGTGAACCGACAGTTAGATTGTTAAAGCCCTAAGTTGCACTAGAGATGTGTAATTTCCTTACCTTCGTTATGTTCTCTTATACATGCTTTTATTTGTTAGGCTGCTGTTTACTTATATCTAGCTTTTCAAATTGTATCGCATCTGCCTTTCTTGTCTCTTCTTCCATTTCAAACCCTTCCTTTCATCTATATGTTCTCCAACTTTTTGGATTTTCTCATTCACATACATCTCAAAAGCTGGGGTATTCATGGAATTAGTCGCTCCACTTTTATTGGGGTAGAGATAACATCTGCATACATTATACTCTCCCTAGACCGCACCTCCAGATGAAATATTTTGTGTTCGTTTCGTTTGGTTTGGTTTAGTTATATATGGTTATGCAATGAAAATGTGATAATTGAGGATTCCCCCAATCAACAACCCCGAAACCAGTAGTTTATTTTACCTCAAATTGTAATGGCAAGAGTTGGACAAAGCTATGCTTTTTGCATAATGGTTCGTATTAGTATCTAATGAAATCCGACTGGTCTTGGAATTGCAGCAACTGCAGTTATTATATTTGTGTGCAATGTTCAAATGGCACTGCTATGCACCATCGGAGTTAGTTATGCAGGTCAGTGAACGCAGCTCTTTATTGCTCCTTTTACGGATGTACTCCTTCCGTCCCAAAGTAAATGCCCACAATGAAAAAGACACATGGTAATAGAAAATTTGTGATTATTCATTTTTTTAATTGATTAATTAATTGACCATTTTACCCTTGATAATAGAGAGGGTAATGAATTTCTCCATCTCATAATTGAGGGTAGAATTGGAAAGTGAACACTTCTGAAAATGTACACTAAACTAAGGGGCCGTTTACCAAACAGGGGTATTGGAAAGCAGACACTTGGGTGCGTTTGGGCATAGGACAAAACATAACAAGGATCCCTGTTCCATGTGTGGCAGGACTTTTATGTGGAACAGACAGGCACAAAGTGGAATATGCTTGTTCCACCCCTACCCCATAGAACATAGTGGAACAAACTTATATTTTACCAATATAACCTCAAAAATAGAACTTAAGTCTTTCCTAAAACATCAAATAGGTCTTCTTTTTACATTTAATTCATCCTTTAAATTTTATTTATTATATTTTATACTTTTTAAACTTTCATTTTACTATCTTCAAAATATTGTTTTTTATACGATTTCTATATTTTTATTAATTTATGTAATTTATTATATATAAAGAAAAATAATAATGAGAGAAGAGATAAAATAAAAATTGGAAACTACATAAACTTTTTATTTTGGTGTTGTTTTAATTGTTTTAACGAAAACTTTCTACTGGTATATTTTGTTGTAAAAAATAATTATTTTATTATAATTTAATAAATTACATAAATTAATCAAAACATATAAACAACTCATTAGGGTAAATTGGTTATTTTACTTGTTATGTTCTGTCTAGTTTTCTTTTACCGTACGCTGAACAATTGACATGTACAGTTCTATCTGTACACCAAACGCACTCTTATTTTTGAAAATGAAAATGCACGCTTACTGGCAAGAGTCATCATCCTTGCTTACTTTATCAGGTATATTCTCGGCTATAAAAATGGATTGTTGGTAAGCGTCTTTTACTTGATAGGCATCTACTGGATAAGAGTCTTCTCCCCCACTTACCGGGTAAGATTCAGTAAGCGTTTGGTAAACAACCCTAAGATAGAAATGTTTGACACTTACTTTGTGACGGAGGGAGTTTCATAGGTTGGGTTCCAGTGAGAATGGAAATTATGGTGAGAAGGATAAGAAGAGATCTGCACCCTTGGATCTATCCTATTTGAAGATCAACACTAATGCGTTAATTCTGGTGATAAGCGCAATTCATGGGGCGGAATGGGGGTGAGATTAAAAGTGATCAAGGGTCCCTTGTTACGCTTCTCACCTCAACTCCCATCCTTCGTTCGGGTTTCATATACTTTTCTAAATCACGAAATCGTTGCATTGCAGTAATGATGTTGCATGCCTCATTCCGGAAGCTGACACCTGTCAAGCAAACTGTAAAAGGGAAACAGAAATAGAAATATTCGCGAAGAAGGTACAAAGGCATCGTATTTAAGCACATATTTTGTGATCCATAGCCAGGGCGAGGGGTGAACCATTGGTTCAAATATGCAAGAATCATCATATGATATCTAAGCACATATATTGAAACTTGATTAATTTTGATAACACAGATTTAACCAATGATTTCATGATCTGAGATGAGTTCTCAAATCGACTTTTTGATTGTAATTTTGTATAAATTATACAAGTTTGATAATTCTTTAGCGTTCTTTGTCTATTTGTTTGGACTTGGGGACTCGCGGCACAGGTTCAAATGGAAGCCGTGAATATTTTGAGAACCTAGGAACCGATTATTCATTATGAATATTGTGATGGATGTTGATGATGAATAGTGAAAATGTGACATTTGAGGTTTTACCTTGATTCATGAATATTTTAGAGGTATTTTTTGTTATGAAATAGCTAGTTTTCAGACCTCAAAAATATTTATAGTTTTCGTTTGAACTTTTCTCCACTTGTAATTGGGGGTGCTTTAAAAGCTATGAGAGTATGTACCTAATCATACATACACTATGCTTTGTGCATGGACTTTTGGACTTGATTATTTCAACCAAAGAGCATCTCCAACTGTTATGCTAAAGTAGAGGTTTTAAAGATATATGAGCTTTTTTTGCTCCAACAACCAGCGACACCGTATGCTATAAATAGAAGAAAATAAGGATGAAATCGCTAAAACTTAATATTGACGAATCATGAGAGAGAGAGAGAGATTATTTTAATTGAACGTATTATAATTTTTTATATAGTTTTTTGAAGTATATACCGAGAAAGAATTTATATACCCCCTTCGTTTTCAAATAAATGTCTACAATTGAAATGATACATGATTTTAAGTATGCATAGTTATTACACTTTTTTGTCAACCAAATGATGTATTTACCTTTATTTCATTTCTCTCTCTTTACAACTCTTAAATACTTATTAATTAATGATAGATTTGAAATTTTGATTATGTACCTTTGAAAACGAACACTTGTTTTAGGACAAATGTAGACACTTATATTGGAACGGGAAAGTAACAAGTTTAATAACATAATTAATGATGGCATTGGTATAAAAGAGTAGCTAATGAGGTTATAATTTTTTTAGAATATTTTGAAAATAATAATTATAGATGATCTATTTTTTTTAAAAAGGGTTTCAGCAGACGTTAGAAGTGACCATTATCATGGCACAAAAATTGAACATTTAATCAAAAAGATAGGAACAAAAATGATGTTGTAATGCATCAAATAATTACTCAAAAAACTGAACAGCTCTAACAAACAGGTCCATCAAGTTCATATCCCAAACCCAAGTATCCAACAATATTTTGACTACAAAAAAAAAATAGATAAAAAGTTACTATATCTTTCTCTCGATGTTATTTACATTTGAATAAATTAATAATAATAATAATAATAATGAACACAAAATCCACCTTAAAGGCATAGATTGTACTTTATAAGACACAAATCCCATCTCTCTCTCTCTCTCTCTCTCTCTAAGTTGGGTTGAGATCTCGAGAACCTTGGCCTTGCCATCTGCACCATCAAAACAAAGATTCAGGTTTTTTTCTTAATCATCTTCTAATAAATAAATCTTGTGAACCACCATAAATGCAATTTTATGGGTATCTGGGTCAGCTTGTACATACTTCGACTAATCTCAAGGGTTCTGGACAATAGCCAGGAAAATCCCCTGTGGCTTTGCAGGACTCAAAATGGTGGCCTTTGAGAAGGATCCTCAAAATCCCAGACCTTGTCGTCAATTGAGTTTAACCCCAAAGTTAATGCAATAGTAAGTTGTGATAATGATGAGGGGTAAATAAGTAATTCCACCTTGCCAAAAAAAGAGAACAAAGTCTCCTAATCCTCTTACCGGGTAAGAGATGAAGTTGTTTACCAATACACTCTTCTTACCGGGTAAGAGTTGTTTACCACTACACTCTTCTTACCGGGTAAGAGTTGTTTACCAATACACTTTGACCTACGCTCTTACCCGAGAGATGATGTTGACTGGGTAAGGAAGGAAGCGGTCAACGCTTACTAAGATCAAATCCCCAACAAAATCTTAGGAGATTTTGGGAATTTTATTAGACAATTTTTACTCCAACAAATTCTCTAAAATGGAGAAAACTAGAGAGAGCGCGAAACGCTCCAAATTTGGATAACTCCCCAAAAATGATTGCCAAATAATTTTTATTCATATTCTCTCCTATAACAACCTTCAAATGAAATGTTTTAGGAGAGCAATAATATTTTTATTAAATGTATACAAAATTTTAATAATATAATCAGTGATTAATCTTCAAAATAGAGAAGCGGTTAGAGTTAAAGGCAATCCTTTTTAAGATTTTGAATTTTGATTCTCCGTTTTGAAGGATTTTAAAGAATCTGTTGGAGATGCTTTTACCCAATTTGTTGTTGATAAACCTCCTCTAAGAGCATCTCCAACAAATTCTCTAAAATAAAAATACATTCAACTCCAACATGCCCAAAATCTCTATTTTCTCTATTTTTTAGAATCTGTTGGAGATACTCTAAGGTGTCTTAAAAGATGCAGCAAAAGCTAAAAAACAGCATCAACGATTTACTCGCTACCGAAAAATGGTTAACTTGACAAACCTTGAAAGTAAGAACCTCGCGAGCGGGCTTAGGTTGGCATGTGACTGAGCCTCTTTGTTCTGTTGCTTCTTTTTGGCATCGGCTTCTGCATTTGCAATCTCCGACTCTGTTACCGTTTTACCCTTAGAGAATCCCCGTGTTGCGACCTCTTGCAGATCCTTCAATGCCGGTTCTTTTGAACTGGAAAGCGTTTCCGTTAAGGAAAAATATAGAGAGTAAAAATTTGTAGACAAGAGCATAAGCCTCAAGATTACCTTGCTAGCCGGTGAAGCAACCTGGTGACGAGAAATTTACAAGATCCGGGCTTCGTGTATTCCATATCCATCAAAGAATTTATCACAGAACGAACAACGGACGCCTCTAAATCATCGGAAACTGCCTACATTCATATGCAGAACATCACAACTTTTTAAATAGTTTTACGTCCTCCGTCCCAATAAGGTGAAGAGCGTCAATAGGGTTTCATCATGATCCTAAATTGATATACGCCCTACGTCCCAAAATAAGTGTCTACTTTCCAATTTTAACCTTAATTATGAGATCAATAAATTCATTACTCCTATTATCAAGGGTAGAATTGTTATTTACTTGATTTAAAAAATGTAATAATTACAGGCTCTCGCATGTAGCTCAGTTGGCAGAAGCGCGGGTGACTTTGCCCAAATACAAGACAGGTCCTGGTTTCAATCCTCCCCCCCCCCCC